TGGTATTTCCTGCACTTCTCCCTATGGAGGGTGACAATAAGGCCTGGGTGGTGAGAGGTCAAAGGCTCACAGGGCCAGCATAGTGTCCCTGGTTGGGGGGTGCGGGTAGGGAGGGCAGTGTCAGGCCGGGAGGGTGCCACCTCTGCTCTCCTGGGACTTGGGAACAGTGCCCTCCACAGAAATACTAAACTTAACCCTTACCTTGGAAGCTCCTCCATGCATCTGCTCCTTCCTCAGTGCAGTGGAGGTCCCCACCGTCCACGCATGGCACCAGCCCCACAGGATCTGGCTTCTTTGACTTTGGCACTGACTGGGCTCCATGCTACCCCTTCTGCAAATCCTACCCCAGCAACACCATGCACTGGGACAGCTCCTGAACATGCCCTGCCTCTCTCAGGCTTTGGCTCTGGCCTTGAAACACTTCCCTCCAGCTGTTCCCACGTCCAGACTCAGCCCCGGGCCCACTGCCCTTGTGGCCTGGGAGAGCAGTCGAGGATGGCCCAAGACCTTGGGACCCTGCACCTGTGTTCCTCACCCCAACACCTCTTCCTGGCAGCAAGCAGCACTCCATCTCATGGTTCTCTGACTTCGTCAGCACTCAGTAGTTCACAAATGAAATAAGGAAATGAATGTGGCCACAGAAGGTTAAATCATTGTCTACGATTCCAGCGTCTCATATTGGTGCCAGTTTAAGTCCTGGCCACTCCACTTCTTTTTTTTTTTTTTAAGATTTATTTATGTTTATTGGAAAGGCAGATATACAGAGAGGAGGAGAGACACAGAGGAAGATCTTCCCTCCGATGAATCCATCCCCAAGTGACTGCAATAGCAGGTGCTGAGCCGATCCAAAGTCAGGATCCAGGAACTTCTTCCAGGTCTCCCACGCAGACGCAGTGTCCCAAGGCCTTGGGCCATCCTCAACTGCTCTCCCAGGCCACAAGCAGGGAGTTGGATGGGAAGCAGGGCTGCTGGGATTAGAACCGGTGGAGTCCCAGGCATGCAAGGAGAGGACTTTAACCACTACGCTATCATGCTGGGCCACTCCACTTCTGATCCAGCTCCCTGCTAATGTGCCTGGGAGTGTAGCAAAGGATGGGCCAAATGCTTAGGCCCCTGTGCCCATGTGGGAGACCCAGACAACGTTTCAGGCCCTTGGCTTCAGCCTGGCCCAGATGCAGCCACTGCAGCTATGTGGGGAGTGAACCAGCAGCTGGAAGATCTCTTTCTTTCTCTGCCTTTCAAACGCATAAAATAAATCTTAAAAAAGAAAAAAGAAATGAACATGGAGGGTAGTTTGCATTGACACAGAGTAAGTCAGATGAGCTTGTGTGTGCTATACTAATAGCATGCATCTCTGGGGGCAGCTTCTCCCAACCCATGTCTACCCTCAGGCCACTCCTTTGCTGAGCAGGAGCCCCTCTGCTCTTCAACCCTTCGAGACAATCCCCCCTCCCAAACAATCACACGTACACTTGGGCCCCTCTCTCTTACACACACAGCCCTAGATGATTCAATATATTGCCTGTACGTGAACCTGCTGGGGCAGGAGGTGAGCCTGCCAGTAGAAGCACTGAGGCAAGCTGGGGGTAGGAGGGATGAGGGTAAATTATTTCTTGGCACCCATCAGAGGCACTCCTCTCAGGTGCTGTGCGAGGCCACCTTGGATCGGACGAGGCAGGGGTGTGGCACGCTTGTGCAGTTTCTCACGGCCCTGCCACTGTCTGCTTCTGTGCCTGAGTGAGCTCTTTGATCTCCAGACCACACACTGTGGGCACGTAGCGGCAGGCAGGAGGAGACGGCAGCCACCCGTGTGCTCTGTAAGGGCAGATTGCTGGCCGTGCCTCTGGCCCTAGGTCCTGGTGTGATAAGAACCACAGAGGCCTTTTCCTTCCCACCAAGGCAGGGCTTCTGCCTTCTAATCTAAGGATTCCCACCTGCCCTGGGGGAGCTCTCCAGCTTCCGCCCTGGGCCAGCTACAAAGGGAAACAGAATCTTACCTCCTGGTTGCCCTCTTGGCACAAGCTGCCCCCCTCCAGGCCAGCCTTACCTTTGCCACACTTGGCAGCAACAACAGCGGCAATAGCAATGCTGTGAGCCTAGTACTCGGGCTGACCTCTTCTTCTCAGTGCAGAAAAGAAGAGAGGTTGAGTTTCTATCTGCAGGGAGCTCAGATGATCAAGTGCACAGCAGAGCCAGTGAACAGGACACACAGCACCAGGACACTAGCAGGATTTGTTTTCAATTCCTTCCTGTCCATTCAAAGAAAATGACAGAGGGGGCGGGGCAGAGAGAAAGGGAGGAAGGGATCTTTCATCTGCTGGTTCACTCCCCCAAATGTCTGTAATATCCAGGCTTGGGCCAGGTGGATACCAAGAACATGATACTCAATCTGAGCCCCCAGATGGGTGGCAAGGATTCAGGTAGGCATCCCATCACCGGCTACCTCCCAAGCACATTATCAAGAAGAGGAATGAAAAAAACAGCGTAGCCAGGGCTTGAACGAGGCACTCCGAAACAGGTGTCCAAAGTGGCAGCTTAACTTGCTGTGCCACAACGCCTACCCTGATTAATACAAGTTTTAAAAATCAGGTCTAGCCTAGCAGCTCCAATGCGCACATCCCATATCAGAGCAATGGAGCTCATTTCCCATTGCAGCCTCCTCCTAACGCAGACCTTCGGAGACAACAGAGGACAACTCCAGTGCTGGATTCCTGCCACTCACAGGCAAAGCCTGGGCTGGCTTCCTAGGTTCTGGCTTTAGTCTGGGCCCAGGCCGGGCTGTGGAGGGCATCTGGAAAGTGAACCAATGGATGGGATCAGTGTATGTGTGCTTGTGTGTGTGTATATATATATAAGTAATAAATATTTAATTTTTTAAAGAAGTTCAGAGGGCAGGTATTGTGATATAACATTTAAGCTGCCACCTGCAATATTGGCATCACCTGTGGATACTATAGTTCAAGTCCCGGTTACTCCACTTCCAATCCAGCTCCCTGCGAAAGGCCTGGGAAAACAACAGAAGATGGCCTCTAGTCTTGGACTCCTGCACCCACGTGGGAGACCTGGGTGAAGTTCCCAGCTCCTAGCCTCAGCCTGGCCCAGCGCTGGCCATTTTGGTTACCTGGGGAGTGAACCAGCACATCCTATCTTCTCTCTGTAACTCTTTCAAACAAGTAAATAAATATATATATTTTTTTTACTATAAGTCCAAAGACAGACATATGTATACTCTTTTCAAAAACAGTAAGTTATCTCAAGCCACAGTTTCTGCTCAAGGCTTTGGCATTTTCACACCTGGTCCCAGTGACTCCTGCCTCGTGTCGCCAGCAGGCACCTCTGATCCCTGGGTTCTGGCAAGGGCTCAGACCAAACAAACCCTCTCGGTGGCAGCCACTGTGGCCCTCAGGAGCAGACAGCCCCAAGCAGGCCACATGTGACTCCTGGACCTGGCTGGCACCTGCCAGCTGCATCCCACATCTGGGACCCATCCCTCTACCCGTCTGCTACAATAATGTCCCTGGGAAGGAAATGTGTTCTGGAACGGGGTGGACTACGGAACCCAGCAGTTCAAGACCAGGCTCTGCATTACCTACCTCCTTCCAGGCTCTGCATGAGGCCTCCTCCATCAGACTCCCTCACCAGGCTGGATCACTGCAAGGTGGCTTCTCTGGCCAGATTGCCTGAGCCCTACTTGCAAGCACAAAGCAGCGGGGGAAGTGCCTTTCAAAAACACAGCTCTTGTTCAAGACTTGCTGGATCTGCAGGCTTGAGGAGCAACGGAAGGAGCAGATTTGAACTGCCCAAAGCCCTGGAGAGAAGAATTTGGGCTCCCCAGAGTCAATCACGGGGACAGGCCTGGAGTCACAGGAGGAACTCGGATGCATGGCCAGGAGGCATGGGAGGTTTGGGCGGCGGCCAGGGGCTGTAGCCATTGAGAAATCCTGGGTGCAAGACAGCCAAAGCAACTTCTCTGAACACTTCATAAATGTGATTCTGAAGTGTTCGCAGTGTGACATAACTGTCCCCTGTGAGCCACAAAGCCCCAGTAAAGGCTCTGCCTTGCCCTCCTGTGGCTGGGAACTGGAGGCTGGAGGGGTGGAAGGGCAGCGGGAGGATGGAGGGAGGAGCTGCAGGGACATTCAGAGCTAAGGAAGCAGTCACAAGACCAGAAAAGTGAAGACAGCTCCTGAACCAGCAGAATCCCAGAGCCCCCAGGAGCCCCAGCGATTCACAGAAGGCCAAGGGGAGGGCACTGGACTTTCCACAGGACACACAACCAAAGCCACTGCCACCTCAAAGGACAGGCAACCTCAGCTGACAGGCAGGCCTTGCCTCTCCAAAACATAAAACGCATCACATGCATCTTTGCTACCCAGGGTCTGCGCATAGGGACTCCCCCTGAGAAAGGGTGTGAGGATCCAAGATGCCCGCAGTGGGCAGTGCCTCCCTCTGCCTCCTGCTCGCCAAACTGCCCGATCGGTCCTGTCCCAGCAATGGCTCTTTGGGCTGACGGTCTTGTAAACAGGCAAGGCCCAGGGGGAAGGGGGTGATGAAACAAGCTACCGAGGGTGGTGCAGCCACCAGACCGCACATTGAGTCCGTTCTGCCCTCTGTGAGGTCAAAGGCAAACCCTAAACCCCCATGAGGAGGGGTTTCTAATCAAAATGGCCTGGGGCAGGGTTTGCGGCTGTAAGCACGCTGTCTCCGGGGCTGGAATCTTCTAGCAAAGGCCGTGAGAGGCGTCCTGTGAGGCTCTGCTCTTGGCTCCAAAGCATCGCTGCTTCGGCCCCTCTGAGGCCTCGCCAAAAAAACCCCTGTAACTCAAAGACCCTCCGAGGAAGCACTGCGCCCTCGCAGCCACACGCGCCACTCACAGGGCTCATGGCGCCACCTGGCGGCGCAAAATGCTCGCCTCAGCCCGGGAGCTCCGACCCACCCGTGGGAAAAAAAAAAAATGAGGACGACTTGGGAGGCCCAGCCCAGCGTGGTGACGTCAAGGAAGAATGACGTTTCTTCCCGCCTCTTCCCGGTCCCCAGAGCTGCCAGTACTTGACGTGGCGTCGCCGCCCTCTACCCTTACTTTGCGTACGTGTTTGCGTGCGGCGGAGGTGGCGGCGCGGGCAGGTCGGAGCTCCGCGCTGGTGCTTGTGCGAGGGCTGGTGCTGCTGCCGTGGCCGCCGTCGCTCTGCGGCTTGGCGAGCTGCTGAGCCGAGGAGGCGCCGGCCGCAGCACCTCGGCAGCCGACGCGGCTCGGCGCGGGGCCCGGCGGGAGGGTGGGCGCCGCGCGCGGGCGGGCGTGAGCGCAGGAGGCGGGGGCGGCGGGGCGGCCGCAGGCCGGGGCCGGCCCGGGGATGTCTGTGCCTGACGCGATGCCGCTGCCCGGGGTCGGGGAGGAGCTGAAGCAGGCCAAGGAGATCGAGGACGCCGAGAAGTACTCCTTCATGGCCACCGTCACCAAGGCGCCCAAGAAGGTGGGTGACGACGAGGGCCACGGGCTGCGGCCTCGCGGAGGGGGCGCGAGCAGGCAGGGACCGGGGTGGTGCTGGTCGGGGGACGGCTGGTTGGCACCTCAGGGGCCTGGGTGAGGTTTGGTTTGGGACGATCGGGGACAGCGGAGGGAGAGGGAGAAGCAGCCGGGCAGCCGCCTCAGGCCTCACCCGGGCTGGAGAGACCGCCCCCCGACCTCGCTTTGCTTTCTTTGTCCCTCGGCCCTGGTCCTCCGGGACCCTTTGGAGACCCCATCAGAGCCAGGCTTTTAAATGGGCGGCTGTGATTTGGGTGAGGTAGGACCTGGAAGATGACAGTGGGAGGGAGCGAAGCTGCTCAGCCCAGTGGGGAGTGGGAGAAGAGGGAGATGCCGAAGTCTCCCCCTCAGGTAGGTTGGCAGAGCTTCTGGGGGTGGTGAATCTTTGGGATTGGGCTGCGTGAAGCTGTCGCCGCACCGAGCTTGTCACCTGCCGTCTCCGGCGGCTGGGACGTAGGTAGCTCGTTGCTGCTGACAGCAAGCGTTGACAGGGGTGCTGCTGCTGGAGCCTGGCATCCCTGGAGGAGCTCGGGTGCGGCGGGTGGGTGGGTGGGTATGAACGATGGCTCATTCTTGGTTGATTCCTGGGTCCCTGGAGCCGGGGGCTGAGCGTGGAGGCCACCCTGCTGCTTTCTCTTGTACTAGCTGTCACCTTTGGGGGTGCAGTCTGACTTGGCCCTCCACAGGGTAGCATGGGGATCCCAAGGGCTTGCTAAGCATTGCCTGCCAAGCGCGGCCTGACTTTCCACATACCTAGCACGCATGCAGTTAACAGCCCAGCCGGGAACCTTTGACAGGAGGTGACCTTCCCGAAGCCCAGGTAAACACTTCCTCCTTGTATGCAAGCAGTGTTTCAAGGCTGTCTCTGCCTGTGCTCGGAAGCGGGTGCGGGCCTGTGAAAGCCACACACTGCAAGGTTTGCAGTAGTCTCAACTCTCAAGGCCCCTGCACTTGAACAGCAAAGCTCCCCTCTTCTCTCTTTGGAGAGTCGGCCTGCGCGTGCAGTCACACGAATCGCGAAGTTGAAAAGACAAGTCGTGATTGTGTGCTGTCACTTTGCTCTTGCACCAGTCTGTACCTGTAGGGTCTTAGCCGGATCATGGCCCTTGACTGTGAGTCAGGGGAGCCTTGGTGTTCTGGCCTCTTGGCTGAACCGCCTGCTTTATAATCTGGGCGCGCCTGCCAAGATGCAGGTGCAGCCCTTAAAAGCAGAGTGTGTAAGGGCTGTGCCCCGAGTTAGGAGTATGACGGGGAAGGGCCGTATACCTCAATTCCCGGGCCTCGTCCTCCCACCGGGGCTAACCCTTGTTGGGCTAGCTGCTTCAGGGCATCCCAGATGGGTGCTTGCCTCTCTTCTGTTATGCCTCACTCTGTACCTGGCGTACAGGAGGCACTCAAATGCCTGTTGCCCCCTTGGGCAGCTAGTACCTGGAGTGTCTGGCTGCCTGTCAGGAGTGGACACTCGTTTTCTCTGTGTTGTGGTCAGGCCAAGGGCTAATGGCTGACTAATAGAAGCAGTGTCTGCCAGGAATGGGGAGGGGGGGAAGACCTTGGGGTGAGTTGCCATTTGCTGGTCTGTGTGCCTGGTGGTTCTTATTCATCTTATTGGCTCTGAGCATTGGTGTTCTGCGTTTATGCAGCCCTTTGTCCCAAAGTGTTTTCCCGGGGCCTGATGACCCTTCCCCTGTGACGATAAAAGGCGTTTATTTAGTTAAAGGATTGGTTGCAGGCTCGTCAAGGTCACCGAGCAAGTCCTGGGTGATGTGTTTCTCAGAACTGCAGCTGAATAGGACGTTTGAAGTCACTTTTGTACCTCTGCCATGTGTGGATAATGTGTGAAAGCATGAGGAACGGCCGAGGGGACAAGCAGCTTGGCCCGGGACTCAACGGGGGGAGGAATGGGCCTGCTGGATTAGGACCGTCCTTTACCTGGGATGACCCCAGCCTGGCTCTTGACCAAGAAATCCTTGGGTCAGGCGAAGCGCTGAGGTCCCCAGGGAGCTGAGGCCAGTCTAGGTGCCAGAGGATATAGGTTACTGCAGGGTGACCTTCCTGGTCCTTAGATCAGATCCCGGCCTAACTTTTGGAGGACGCTTTTTTTTTTTTACTCTTTGTGTGCTGAAGAGTGTGGTGAATGGCCATCCATTACAAGCATACATGTCTGGGTTCTGCGACTATAATCCTTCTCCTTTTGGGGTCCACCGTCTCACAGTGCCATATGTGTGATAGGGCTTGCTAGTAGGGAGCAGGAGTTGAGATGTCTGGGTACGAAGAAGCCGGCTACATAGGTACCACCTCAAATGAATTGGTTGGTCTTCCTCAGTTTCCTCTGCCCATTGTTTGACACGGGGGAGACAGGGACATATTGGGAAATAAGATAGCGAAAAATACATGTTAGAAGGGAGTCTCCAAGTATGTTTTTACAAGTAGGAAGTCAGAACTGTGGGAGGGAACAGTGGTGGCTCCGAGAGCTTAGGCAGCTGGTTGATGAGGCTCATCTCCCGTGCAGCCAGGAGCTGAGGGGAGGCCCGGATCAGTTTCCTTAGTAGTGCAGTGTCCTGAAGGGCGTTCTTCCAGACCAGTATTGCCGGCTGTCGTGTGATTCACGTGGTAAGGCTGGCTCACGACGCACTGGTGACTCCGACGTGGCTGGGAAAGTGGCAAAGGAGCACAGGAAACCTGCGATTCTGAGGGTTGGAGCACGTCGTGCCATAGCTGAGGAAGATCCCTAACTGAAGGCCAGTGGGAACTGAGTCAGTCATGGAGTTGCCAGCAAACACTGGCTCCTTATCCCTCTTTCTTGGCAACTTTGTAATGTGGCGGGGAGGAAGGGGAGGAGGGGGTGTCCTTGGGGCTCCAGGAATGGACGTTGTGTCCAGTGGGCTCTCTGCTCATAAACTGAGCCCAAATGTCCATCTTGGTCACCAAGCCTGCTCCTCTGGAAGGCTGCTGTTTGGAACACCCACCGTTTTCTGAACATTGGGGTGGGGGAATTGGGGACACTTTTCTGAATGACAGATTAGGCCTAGGATGTTTGCCCTTGAGCCTTTTCTGCTGGCAGATTACAGAGAAGAAATTACTGTTGTGTGTAAGAATATTCCCCGCTTGAATAAAGCATATGTAGCACGCACTCACCCGAAGTCAGCTGAGACTAAGAAATACTCTGAGTGTGGCTGCACATGCGCCCTGTTGGTATGGCAACCAGATAGGAGCAGTGCCAAGGGCCCTTTTTCTCACAGCCTCTTCCTGGTTTAGACTTAGAGAATTTGCACCAATGCTTCTAAGAATCACTGAGAACCAATCTTCTCTCCTGTGTGGCGGTGATTAGCTCAGAGCAGGAAATGGGTGTGAGAGAACGCTCTTAGGATTTCTCGGCAGGTGTTGACCTTGCTTAGTTTGGTTGAGCTGATTACACACTGGTTTCCAAATCATGTTCTTTCGCATCCCTTTAGACATTGAGCTGGTGGTGATAGAGAAATCTATTATCTAGACCCTTCGCTGGCAAGATTGCAGCTCTGTGCTTTTTGCCTCATCAAGAGGATGTCATGTGACTGCAGAGTGTCTTATCCTGTGTAATAATCTGGTGAATTTTTCTGTAAGGGATAGGTTGATGGGTAGAATCACCTAGAATTTCAGTTAGCTGTAACTGCTGGTAGGTTTACTGTGCCACCTCAGGCAGTGAATGACCTGTAAAGTTACTCTGGTGCTCTTTGTAGTTACTTAAAGGAACTGATTAGTAAGGGGACTGTGAATGTTATATTTCTGTAAAGAACGACTCCCCTTACCCTGAACACGTGCTTCAGGCTGAGTCAGAACTGAGCGGTGGTTGGACCACACCTGACTGAGCTCAGTCAGAAGCATCCCCGTGGGAGAAGATGTTTGCATGCGGTACTTCTCTGGCCTGAGATGTTGAGAATGCAGAGCTGGGCAGCGTCTTACTGTGTGCTTTCCTAAGGCCTCTTACAGACACTGTCCACACCTCCTATAACGTCAGCAAGTAATGAAATTTCTATAAAATCAGAATCACCGTTGCTCTTCTGGTTTCCATGTTTGCCTTTGACTCACTCAAGTAGTTCTCTGTCTCAGGTTGCTTAGCTGTTACGTAAGGCCTTATTAACTTCCCCCATTTTGTTCTTACAACTCAAGTTCACTTTCAGTTTCTACAATCTGATAGCTGAATGACCTTGGATAAATTATTTATGTGGGCCTCCTTTTATTCCCTGTAAAACAGGGAATGATGATAGTTGAGAGAATTTGCACTTCCTGAGTGTTTATTCCTTTATACCTGGAGTGACCATATGTCCTAGTTTGCCTAGTACAGTTCTGGTTTGTACCTGTACTCCCAGTGTGCTGTCCACTGACGGCTACGCTGTACAGCTCCCAGGTTAATGCACTCACCCTATTTATAATGCTCTGGATGATGTGACACAAAAGGTCAAATAGGAGCTCCATTTTGAGATGTTGTTTTTAAAAGATTGTTTGAGGACCTGGCTCAGTGGCCTAGTGGCTAAAATCCTCTTCTTGAACGCACCGGGATCCCATATGGGCACCAGTTCTAATCCCAACAGCCTGGCTTCCTGTCCGGCTTCCTGTCCAGCTCCCTGCTTGTGGCCTGGGAAAGCAGTCGAGGATGGCCCAAAGGCCTGGGACCCTGCACCTGCATGGGACACCCAGAGGAGGTTCTCGGTTCCTGACTTCGTATCGGTGCAGCACCGGCTGCTGCAGTCACTTGGGGAGTGAATCATCGGAGGGAAGACCTTCCTCTCTCTGCTCCTCTCTGTGTATCTGCCTTTCCAGTAAAAATAAATAAGTCATTAAAAAAAAAAAAAGATTATTTGATAGAATAACACAGAGAAGGGAAGAGACAGAGAGGGATCTTGTATCTGCTGTTTCACTCTCCACATGGCAGTGGTTGGGGCTGAGCCAGGCCAGAGTCAGGAGCTTCTT